GTATATAAAATTTTTCCCCAAGTTGACTATTCATATTATTTGATTTAATTTTAATTGGGTTCTGTGTGTATGTCTTGTGTAAAGGAAAAGGAAAGAAATTAAAATTTTTAGAAACGGAGCATATTTTTTTCTCAAAACCGTAAAATTTCCCCGGGGTTAATTTTACTGTCACTCGGGTCCGTCGATTCTCGTTTTAAAAAAAAAGAAAAAGTTCGATTTAATTTGTTGCAGCAAGCATTCATTTCAAAACCAATTTAAAACAAAATATATTTTAACTATTAAATATATATTTATATATAAAATTTTAAATATATTAAAATATATTTAAAAATATAAAAAAAATATTTAAAAGGGAAATACCCCCTCTATAGTGGAATGGGGGACTCTCATCCTCAGAGAAGAAAAATTAAAAAGTACCTCAGGGGGAAAAACTCAAGGTTCTCCCTGGAGGTTTGAATATTTTTTCTTTCCCAAACCCCCCCCTTTTAAAATTTTTTTTATGGAACATTTTTTAATAAAAAAGAATCATTTTCTAAAAAACAAAAAAATGAATCAATGGCACAAAGTATCAAAAAATCAAAAGAATTTCTCCCGTACCTTTGAGGGGTGGGCCAAGCAGTATGCAGGGAAGCATTTTCCCCCCTGGAGGTACGCTGAGGGGCTGGAAACCCGGAAAATGGCTGCCCCTTTGGGGCCCCGGTGGGGTGGACGAGTCGGGAACCCAATTCTTTAAGGAAACGTGTGGCATTTTTCCCCATGATCCCAAGGTCTCTGATCCCGCTGGGACAAATTGATACTGTTGGCTAATGTCACTGTACTTGCTGATCTTGTACTCCTCCCTGTGGTCAGCAGCTCCTCCCTGTCGCCCCACACTGTGATGGATATAGGTGTCAGCCAGTGTGGACACACAGGTATAGTCCCATGCTAAGAGCTTGCCATTCTTCCAAGGTGATCCCATCGGGGCGGTTTGCTGGGTTGTGGGTATTGTTGGCTGCTAGTGATCGGGGCTCCCTCTCGGCAGGGCATCCAGCTGTAGCAAGGGTTATCTTAATGATGTCGTTGACCTCATTGTGTCTTGCATGCCAGCCCTTGGTTTTGGAACAGTTAAGACCATGTAGACCGTATTGGTCTGCTTGCACTTCGCCGCAAATACACGTATATTCTGTGTGAATTGGGGCAGCAAGGCGCAGAGCCACTGCAGTACGGAGGGTCTTGGGGTCGAGTCGCGTTCCCATTGCCGATATGGGAACTGTTTGGAGGAAGTCCCCGGAGTGATGTGCGCTCACAGCCTGGAGACGGGCAATCTCCCTATCTGATGTTGCAGCCCTGAGCATGTTGGCAAACACCTTTTCAGCAATCGGGCCATCCCAGCTTGACTGTGAGCCAGTGCTGCACTAGGGTTTGGTGCTGGAGCAGCAAGAGTCTCCCATTCGGTGATGGCACTGGCATAGCTAGGGTCTTCTATTCCTGCTGAGTCACTGAGGGTATCAGGAAGAATTTGTCTTATCAACTGGTTTGATGCTATGGAAGAGGATAGGAAAGCTGGTAGAGCAATCTGGGAGGATCTGCGTACTCCTAGCCCTCCAAGCCTGACCGGAAGTGAGGCTTGCAACCACTGTCCATCGTCAAGGGAAAGATTCAATACGCTCTCTAGCATGGTCTTCAGGAGAGAGTCATATTCCTTGAGTTTTGGACTGCTGAAGGCTGGGGAGCATCTCAGAAAGTAGGTAAGTTTTGGGATTGACAGGCACTTGGTGAGTAGGTAGAAAGCATCGTGTGTGTCAATGCCTTTCATCCTGCTTTCCATCGTCCGGAGGTCTGAGGCTTTTTTTTCTAGGATCAGATCGATGGCATTGGGCCAAAGAGGAGCACCAAGGAGAGTGCTATTGGCTGGATCAATGGCTCGTGCTCCTGGTAAAACGGCACTAATATTCTGGATCATCTGTTAAATTGGGTTAGAAATATTTCACATTTGGTGGGGTTTAAAGAAAGGCCCAGGCTTTCTCTCATTTCTTTAATTTTACTGATGTCCTCTAGGAGAGATTCTGTTGTGCCAGCTAGGGTACCGTCGTCCAAGGAACCAGATATTGAGCTCGCTGGAGAGTGCTTCCGTGACTTCCTTGATGACCAAACAAAATAGAAAGGGGGCGAGAGGGTCCCCCTGTTGCACGCCCTCACATAAATCAATTTCATGGTCCCCAAACAATAGTTTGGAAGTCACACTATAACACGATTCTATGAAGGGATAAAGGGAAGGGAAGTTTCTATAAACTGCTTGGAGAGCAGCATCCCTTCTGACTGAGTTGAAAGCATTATGTATATGATTTTATGCTCAGGGCTGCAACATCCAACAGGGAGACTCCCCTCTCCAAGCTGTGAGTTCACATTACTCTGGGAACTTCCTCCAAACACTTCCCATTTCGCAATGGACCACGACTCGATCCACAGACCCTCAGTATTGCAGTGGCTCTCCTCATCACTACCCCAATTCACACGGAATATACGAGTATTTGTGGAGATGTGGAACCTGACCAATATGGTCTATATGGCCTAAACTGGTCCAAAACCAAGGGCTGACATGCAAGACACAATCAAGCCAACCACAAAATGAAGAGGAACCTTGCTATAGCTGGGTGCCCAGCTAAGAGAGAGACCCGATCTCTAGCATCCAGCAATGCTCACAATCCCGTAAACTGCCCCGACGGGATCACCATCTATCCTTGGAAGAATGGCAAGCTTTAAGCATGGGACTATACCTGAGTGTCGACACTGGCTGACACCTACATCCGTCACAGTGTTCGGCAACAGGGAGGTACTGCAGATCACAGGTAGGAGTTAAAGATCAGCAAGTATAGACACATAGGCCATCAAATATTAGTTTGTTCCAGTGGAATCAGAGACCTTGGATACCAAACACATCGACACCACAACGGACCAGAGGGCCGCCACTTTCATGTTCCAGCGCTTCAGTGTGGCCATCTAGAGAGAAAATACTAGCTGTATACTTGACTCGCGTCCGGCTTTGGAGGAGCTGGAGGAGATTCATAATCTTTGATAAATTGTACCAATGTAGAATATAGAATATAAGGGGTGGTAGGAGAAGAAAATATTCAAACAGCTCCGGGGAGAATGTTAAGTTTTTCCTGAAGTGCGTTTAGCGTTTAATCATTTTTCTGAGGACGAGGGTCTCCAGTTCAGTTCTAGGGAGGGGGTGGTACCTCTCTATATATATAAAGGTAGTAGGTTGGTAGACAGCAACCACCCAGGGAAGTACTACCGTCCTGCCAGATGACTGTGAAACAGAAACCTGTAACTGTTTTGCATGATGGTAGGATTGCTGGTTTCTTTTTCTGTCTCATAAACACGCTAGATAACAGGGATATCTTGCTACTCCTACCTACACTTTGGTCACACTTCACAGACACGTACATGCATATATATATATATACATACATCTAGGTTTTTCTCCTTTTTCTAAATAGTTCTTGTTCTTCTTTATTTCTTCTATTGTCCATGAGGAAGTGGAAAAGAATCTTTCCTCCGTAAGCCATGCGTGTCGTATGAGGCGACTAAAATACCGGGGGCAATGGGCTAGTAACCCCTTCTCCTGTAGACATTTACTAAAAAAGAGAAGAAGAAAAACTTTATAAAACTGGGATGCTTGAATGTGCGTGGGTGTAGTGCGGATGACAGAACAGATGATTGCTGATGTTATGGGAAAGAAAAGAA